ACGGTGGGGGGAGTCTTTGAGAAATGATGATTATACGGGGGGGAAAAGAGATATACAGGGTGTCCCAAAATTAGCCTGCCAAACTTCAACAGCGGCTTCTTCGACCAAAAATAGGCAGAAATGTTCCAATGAACATGAGTCGAGAAATGTCTCCTATGAGAGCTACGTCCCCCTGAAAGGGGGCTCATATTTCTTGAGTATTTCCGAAACTCCCATGCGATAAAAATATACAATTTGGTATAAGAACTAAACTTTCCATGCCCAATGCAGTGAAAATGAAAGCATTTCAAAATTTCAATTGGGAGTGTATCATACAGAATGGAACAACACTAAAAATTGATCAAAATTTTTTTGCATTCATATGTCTCGACAATTCAATCCTGGATTATGAAATTCCTCAACTTTTTTCAAAATAAAAAGTTACTCTTCTTCCTTGACGATCAGATGTAATTATTATCGAGTAAAAACAATTTAAGAATATTGTTACATCTCAGATATTATGCATAACATTGCAATGAGGCGTAGTGGAAATGAAAAAAAAAATGCACTAGTATTGAAGTAGTTCTTTCATCATCATTTCCCTATTTTTTGCGCTTTTATATTGTTTGGAAAAAATAAAATACTGTATTTTTTTATAGTCACTATGATTTGAAAATTTGCAACGTTATGCATAAGATGTGAGTGCATCAATATTTTTATATCGATTTCACTCGAAAATGATACATCTGATCGATGCGGAACAAGAGCACCTTTTTTTGTGAAACAGTGTGGATTTTCATAATCAGAGATTGAATTGTCAGAAAATATGCATACGAAAAAGTTTGACCAATATTTAATGTAGTCTCACCCTGTATTATACACTCCTGAATGAAACTTTGAAATGATTTCATGTTCACCGCATTAGGCCTGGAAAGTTCAGTTCTTGTACCAAATTGCATCATTTTATCATTTGACGTTTCGAAAATATTCAAGAAATATCATCTTCAGGAACCCCTATTCAGGGGGCCGTAGCTCTCTTAGGAGACATTTCTCACCTCCCATGTTCATTTCAAATTTTCTTCCTATTTTTGGTCGAAGAAGCCGCTGGTGAAGTTTGGCAGGCTAATTTCGGGACACCCTGTATAGTATACAAAATATAAGATGAAGTATTGAACACGGATATACTGACAGTATTATTTTAGGAAGTCTATTGATTTAAAAATATTTAACCTAGGCTGAAAATATAATCTTTCCCAAAATATCTAGATATGTTTTGTCAACTGGACAGAAGAGGAAAATAATGAACAATGTGGTCTACTTTATATAAGCGCGCATCCAAATTGACATTTGGTATAATAATGATAATATGTTTATTTCGATGGAATCAGAATACAATGGAAGAAATAATGATAGCAAGTTAACATTAGGAAAATGAACATTAGAAAACCCACAGAAGTAGCAAATGCTGCTTGTCTGTGGTGAAAAAATATTAATTTCGTTTGACGAGCTATCATTGAAAATACTAAGTTTAATTATTTTGGAAAAATAATCAAAATGGATAGATATAAAAATAAATGAAATGAAAGAACTCCGGTGTTAAACAATCACAAAAACTTCGGATAATATATATGTACATAAAATTACTGACGAAACTAAAATAAATAATATCGGAATAAGAATCTACGTATAAAAGTTCAAAAATGTGAAATACTTAATTAATTTGTGTGTGTGAAAATGTAATGAACACTCGAACATATCTGAAATAATTATTGACAAATTGTTCTATGGAAAGGAATCCATCGATAGTTCACCTAATTCGGCTCTAATTAAGTTGAAATTTGACGACTGATTATTCTTTTGCAATAAAATTGGATTTTTTGAATAACGAGTTCAATAAAAATACTGTTTTTCAAATTGGATGCGCACTGTTGAAAAAAAAGAAGTTTTTTGTTTTGCCTGAAGACGGATCTGGATTCTAATTTCGATTCATATTTAGTTTTTATGAGAAATATGAGTTGAATATATACCTACCAAGTATGAATCGATTATACACAGTGGTTCAAAAGTTATGACCTGACCATATATCAAGATTTTGCCAAAATCAAGATTACGATCTGTATCACAATTATTGAAGATGGTAAATTCTTAAGGGATAGGTACAGTTTCGAACAGGAAGCACGAAAATCAGGAGAAAGTATTCCTTGATCGGATCACTCAGTTTTTAGGGAACAGTCAGTTTGTAACGATAAATAATTCCTTTCGCGTATTTTTCGATGTCGATCACAAAATTCAACCGTACGTGATGACATCTGATATAAGACTGTCGTGATTTACCACCTGGTCCCGAATGAATGACTAATAAGATGAATCATGCTGCTAACCGATTAATTTCCGAACAAAAATGATTTATCTATGACTAACGATGATAATATAATTGAACGGGGGTAGGATATATTTTGTATACAGGTGCTATTTTTTTTGAAAATCACTACGATATGAAAGAATTTCACATAGGCTGATAATATATTTTTTTCAAAAATCTCGTGATTATGGAATAACTTAACATACAATATGTAGTGAAGAGATCGACCCTTTCCATTATCAAAAAATAAATTACCACAATGACATACAGGCAAACAATTTTTGTTTCAAAAATATTGGTCACACGTAGTGGAAATAAATCAAAGGAGTAGCTACTCTGATATTTCTAGATGTATCGAGTGGTATCGGCTCAAAATACCTGTCAGATTTTTGACATTTGTTGTTTTTTAGGTTATATTTAGGTCATTGGCGTATCATACGTAATTTCCATATGGAATTCCTGATTCAACTATACCAAGATATAGTTACTATGAGCTGAATGAGCTGAGCCTTATGATTGAGAAATTGTGAATACCTTGATGTGGGTATCAGAACAACTGTACTCATGTGTGCTAAACATATTTTCGGAAATCCATAACTCGGAGGAAAAAATTATGGAGTGACTAATTCTAAGACAAAAAGTAGGCTTATAGAAAGTAATACGTGAAATTGCAGGAAAATGAAGAATAGAATATACTTTACCCTCATGTTATACATATGATTTTCCGCCTCCCTAAAGTGAGAAGTTATTTCCAAATAATTTATTGATGAATGTAACAAAGAAGTAGAAATACAGTATAACTTTTGGGCATGTTATTTTCACTCTTGCATCCTACATATTTTCAATATGTGGTAGAGTAATAATTATAAAAACCAATGTTAAAAGTGCAGTTTTGAGCAGTGGTTATTTGAATACCACTAGAAGTGAGATCTGGAGCCAATGCAGTTTTCGTGATATTTCCATAAAAAACTTCAGTGACCCACAGTTTGGTTCGAAATTTTTTGCTATTTTGTGAGAGATTGCTGCACATACCCTTCAGCGATATTCGCAGACTTCCAAGCAAGAATGTCTCCTCCAGAATTGGCAATTGGCATGTAAACTTGCCGAGGTTTTTCTGAAACTATATGCACGGTATAATTTATGACGTCAGGCAGTTTTAAAAATTCTTCAATTCTATTTGTGAATTTTAGCTATAGAATTCTTCCCAACCATTTGGTGGGTACATTTCCCTGTTCTATAGCAGATACCAATTTCAGTTTTTGAATAGAATCGGATCATAATTACGAAATTCATTCTCCATATTGGATCCGCTATCTTGAATTTCCCAATTTTGACTAAAAATCATGAAGTTCGACCCCGAAAACCCTCAGATACCAATCTTCAATAGAATCGGATCATAATTAGAAATTTCTTTCGCTATACATTGGATCCGACATCATGAATTTTCCAAGTTTGACGAAACAATCATTAGCTCCAACCCCGGAAAACCCCAGATATACCTTCCAATTTTATATAGAATCGGATCTTCCTCAACAAGTGAAAACCCTGTACATACCTATTATTAAAATTTTGAATGATTTTCTGTAGCGCCCATGGATGTGACGTGACAGCAATGTCAGGGATGCCAGTAGACAAAACTAATAGTCATTTTTCCTCGAACCTAACCAGACAAACCAGGTTAACTTTATGGTGACGTCACGTTAACTTTATTATGACGTCACGGTTTACTTGCGAAGTTTGACAGATGTCAGTTTATCAGCTGTTTTTGTTGATTGCTTGGTTTGAGTAGTAATACCTTGAGTAATAGAAATATATTGATTAAGTAATTCATAATCTGTACTTGACAAAAAGATATCATAGCTAGGAACTAGGTACTTACCTACTTCAAATTCAGAAAAATTGGAACAATTTGCCACATCAATATTAACAATGGATCAGATATTTATTTCCATCAATAATATGATGAGATCCCAATTAATTTTTATTATCAATTATATAATCTCAGATTATAACAACAACAAGAGCCCAATCCGCAATTCAGTACCCAATCAAAAGCCTCAACTACTCCGTGAACTACCTCAGTGAGCTGGTTTGTGTGGTTGGTCAACTATTACGTCATAGTTTGGAATACACCTCGAGGAAAATTGACTGGTTAACTTATTGTTGACCCGGTTTGTGTGGTTAACTTCGAGGAAAAATGGCTAAAAGTCTCTAAATCATTAAAAAATACCCGTACCCTATTTTGACCCTATTGAGATGACTTCTACGTCAATTTCTATCAAGGGACCCTAGTCAGAAAGTAAACATACGGAATTTTTTCCACCACTAGCTATTGACCTATCATTATTCTCCTATTCGAGGCGTAAAGTGTTTCATTACCACCAAGGTAGTTTTCGTCATTTTATGAACCACTGAAGTCACATATTAATTTAATTACTATTGACAGAAAAGGTGGATATATGTAATGACAGATATGACTGTTGACTTCCCTAAGCCCTGCCCCTTTGTTTATTTTCATGATTTTTTAACCTAGCTTTTCAGACTCGAATCACAAATTCTCAGATTTCAGATTGTATAAAATCACAAATCACAATTCACGAGACGAGTTCAATTCTTTGATAATGTGGTTTCCTAATTTACATATTTCAATGATTCATTAATGTTAATGACGACGATGCAATCTGTTCTTGACGAGATTTGTCTCCTTCTAGAAACCTATAAAGGTAGAGACAAGGTAGTTGTTGGATTGTGGAAAATCTGAACAAAAGTATTATTTGACACATTCATCATTGCAGATTCTCCGAACGCTAAGTTATGTTACCAAGCTGGTTGGTGGTTTGCACAACAATGAGGAAATTGCCAAGAAATTGCTAATTTTTAGCTCAAAAATGTCAGGGGCTAGAGCTACCCTTCGATTACTTGATGACATTCCAATGATACAGTACACTCTACAATATGGATTGGGGAAAACAGTAATAGCCACTTACAGTTTCAGTATTTTTAGACTTCCAGAGCATATCAACATTTTTTCGTTGAATACATGCTTTTAGAATGTTCTCTACTAGTTTGTTCTACTAAGTAGTCTGTGTGCTGCATGGTTTCAAAATTAAATGATAATTACTTAATATTCTAGGGACTATGCTGAAATTGATGGTAGATATACATGGCTTTACATGTTTTTAACATCAATTCATCTCATTTTGTTCTTCAAATAGTGTTCAGTTGTCTTTTTGCTGTAAAGAGCCAGCTAGATCTCCATACCTGGAACTTATTTATTTCCAGTGGCGTCCGCAAGCAGTGGGGGGGGGGCGTGGATGCCCCTTTCCTAGTGCCTCTTGTCCTTATACTGGGATACATTCTCAATAGATTGACTTGCAGTATTCAAGCCCTACTTTGTTTGTACTCAGATGAGACTTAAAAATTATTGACTTTTTCCTGAATGAACAAATTTATTGATCTAGATGAAAAAGCTTGAATTACATGTTTTCAGTCAATTACAGATTGTATAGTTTTGCAAACCATGCCAGTGCTGAAGCAAATAAAATGAATGATGAGGAGTGAGTAGTTGTAGAGGGCAAGACCAAAATTTGATGTGGGCAAGGTACATTTAGTGGAGCCCTCTGGTGGCCTAAGTAGCAATGTTATGGATTGAGAATTTATTTGAAATTAGCTTCTTACTACTTCATTTTAATAAGGACCATGCAATCCAAACAATGTTTTTAAAGGAACATCAGAGACACAGAAGTTGCTGTTTCTAGCCCAGGTCATGTGTCATTTCCGTGAATACCAGGGCAGAGGCAAGAAAGTCAGACAACATCCTTGTACCGAGAAAAATGCGCCGCAGGCGAAAGTTTTTTAGTTTTCATGGTCATATATGCCTTCCAATTGAAAATTAGATTTTTCCAGAACGACAACATTAAATTTAAGTTCAGTGTATACCAGGAAAGGGTCCCAGAAACTCAAACAAAACATTTTGTACAGTAAAAATGTGCTGCAGTCGGGACATTTTGTTGGTGTACAAGGTCTAATGCCTTCAAATTGATAATTTGATTTCTTCCAGACTGATCACATTATTATATTATGAATTATAAGCTATATCTCAGCAAACATCACACCAGCCTTTAGATGTCCTTTAAAAACTGCCAACAGACAACATCAGCGGGCCACAATAGGAGAGTGGACCTTCAAATACCTTTCAATCACTTATTTTTTTAGAATTTTTCGGTTGGTTTTGAGGTGCTCAAATCATCAATAATGCCATGATGATTTTCAAACTGCTAGAAATTTACCGCAAGTAAAAACTGACGTCACGATTTCGTAAGTAGGGGCAGTTATAGCACAGTTGCCATATTTTGAAATATGATTGGGAAGTTCAGAAATAATAGTTATTCAATAATTCATAAATTCACAATTATGTATCGGTAATATTCCTAATTATCAATAATAAAATCTATAGTCTCAAAATTTTTCCATATGTGTTGTGGCTTATTGTTTATAATACATTTCTGTAAATGATAATTATTATATAAATTCACACTAGAGGACATTTGAACTGATAAACGTGACAACACGGCGCACGAATTATTGTGGCCAGTGTCTTGTCGGTTCTCAGTATTCAGCACATTGTTGCCAAGTCTTCAACATCTACATGATATTTTGTTATGAAGTATAAGAAATATTTGGACATGCTGGTTGCTCAAAAAAGTCAAGAATTTTTTTATATTTTTTATCGCTTGGAGCGCACGAAAGGAAATCCCTATAATGTTCAAAGAACATCTTGCGTTCCTAGGGACGATAGGGACAGGAGGGTAGGTATTGGAATTTTTTTTGAACTTCTGGAGATTATATGTTTTTGGGAATACTAAAAGATCATGACTACCTCCTATTATGTTTTATCTAGTGTTTTATTCTACGGCAGAATTCTTATATAATATCTTTCTGATGATTTTTATATAATATTGGTCACTTGACAACTATGCTTCATGAGTGGGAATGGAATATTATCTGACCAATAACGAAACAGCATAAAAATTGACGTCACCATTTATTCGACGTATCGCCAAATGGCGGCCATGACGCATACACTCATTATTTACATAAAAAAAGCGTGAGAGGTGTTGCAAAAATTAATTTAGGTCCCTTACGACACATTGGAGTAAATGAATACTAATAATTTATTTATCATGGGCTCCGTGGCCGAGTTTGTCTATGCGCTGAAATTCGCTAGATAGCCGTTCGAATCCGGCTATCGGCTGAGCATTTTTCTTTAAAATGTGTGATTCATGGTTGTTATCCTGGCAGCACCTCGATGCCCTAGAAGTGGTTCGGATTCCACAATAAGCTGTAGGTCCCGCTCTTCCTAACCCCGCACAAGTTTCGACTTCTGGGGAGTTGGTTCCCAACTTTGAAGTAGCGATATACAAATTTTACAAATCATCAGTCCACTCGCCCATTATGATACATCGTCGGCCCGACTAGCCCGTGTCGCACAGGCCGCTAGTAGGCCGCCGGACTATCTGCCGACACTATTCGGTTGAAAAAGAAAAAATACACCAAGGCAAAAATACTGTACCCGGACACGACTTCATCAAAGAATCACTGATAAAACACCTACATCACGAGATCCATCAATATATCATTCAAATAATATATCAGTTCTGCTTAAAAAACAGCTATATTCCTAGAGAATGGAAAACCGGTACAATTGTTACAATTCCTACACCCAACATGGACCATTCAAAACCTATCAATTATAGGCCAATTACATTGCTTCCAGTGCTAGGAAAAAACCTTGAAAACATTATAAAAAATAGGCTACTGACATCAATAGGACCTCATATCCCAGGGCATCGGTTTGAATTCAGAAGTCATTGTTCTACAACTCACCCACTAGCAATACTCATCAACAATATGGAAGCGGCTAAGCTCAATGGCGACAAAACGGCAGCAATATTTCTAGACATTAATAAAGCATTCGACAGTGTATGGACGAAAGGCCTCAAATTCAAGCTAGATTCCCTCAACTGCCCGAAATATCTGATACACATAATAGCATAACTGCAGCCAAACAATAGATGCTTCGAAAGAAACATACAATGCCAAGATAAGATCGAAACTCATAGATTGTCCCAATGGCTCCCGTTCGTTTTCGTCCCTTGCTAAAGCGGTCGGAAGAAATTTTACTAATAGTTCATTTCCACCACTGTCCAAATCCGACGGCACATTAGCAACAACATCGCAGGAGAAAGCAAATATTTTTGCAGAGATGTTCGCAGCAAACTCTACTTTAGATTCCCAAGGAAAAGCGCCGCCAGACATTCCACCGGTTGAGAGTCGAATGCCCGAAATCGTCTTCCGTCAACGCACTATCAGACGAATTTTGCTTGGTCTCAAAACGAATAAGGCTAACGGTCCTGATGGAATTCCACCCATTATCCTCAAAAAATGTGCACCAGAATTAACACCGATTCTCTACAAGTTGTTTACTGTCTCGTACAGGTCGGGTATTTTTGCATCATGCTGGAAGACAGCTAGAGTCCAACCAATCCCCAAAAAAGGGAACAAGAACCTGCCCAACAACTACAGGCCCATCGCCCTGTTATCAGTAATCTCCAAAGTGATGGAGAAAGCCATCAACATTGAGCTTATCAAATATCTGGAGAGCTCAGGAATCATCAATGATAGACAATACGGCTTTCGCCACCGAAGATCTACTGGAGATCTACTTGCCTACGTCACCCATTTATGGCAAGCTTCATTAGAAAAACACGGGGAATCTCTAGCTGTCGCGTTGGACATATCGAAAGCATTTGACCGTGTTTGACACGAAGGACTCCTCCACAAACTACCATCATACGGCTTACCACCTCAGTTATGCCATCTCTTATCGAGTTTTTTGCAGGCAGATCGCTTCATGTGGTGGTGGACGGTGTATCGTCTGATACCATTGGCATCAATTCCGGCGTTCCACAAGGATCAATTTTGGCACCAACATTATTCCTTCTTCATATCAATGATCTGTTGGGAGTAACAACTTGCCCCATCCACAGCTTTGCAGATGATAGTACCCTCCATACTGCGTTCTCTTCCAGAATTCCCATTTCTTCCCAGGAAACTGAGAACTCACGGCGCAGGAAGGTCGATGCTGTCAATGAAGACCTTGCTGAAATCACAGCCTGGGGAACCAACAACCTAGTTGAATTCAACGCCACCAAAACTCAAGCCTGTATTTTCTCTAGAAAGGCGGAACTCAGTATGCCCGATATTGTAATGTCTGGCTCCACCATCCCCACCAAGCCCACCATATCTATGCTCGATATTTCCATCAGCAACACTCTTTCATGGGATAATCATGTCAGATCCATCGCAAAAGCTGCTTCACTAAAACTCGGATTCTTGTTCCGTGCGAAAAGCTACTTTACACCTCAACAGCTTCTCATGATCTACAAAGCGCAGATACGGCCTGTTCTAGAATACTGTTCCCACATATGGGGTTCAGCACCAAAACATACGCTGATGCTCTTATATTCCATCCAGAGATGAGCCATCCGCCTGGTGGGTGACGCCACACTCACTCACTCACTCTTTGACATCATTGGGACACCGTAGAAAGGTCGGCGACCTTTCACTTTTCTATCGATACTTCCACGGGAAATGTGCTTCGGAAATCTCTGCTATCATCCCTTCACTAGCAATACCAGTCAGACGAACTAGACAAGCCCAGTCCATTCACTAAGTGAAAGGAATTTGAGAGTGAAAGTTCAAGACAAATTATCACACGAATTCACACGCCACAACAAGGAGTTCCACAGGGATCACCACTATCACCCCTACTCTAACATATACTGTTCAAATATATACCACATGGACCCACAATATTTCAATTTCGATAATTACATACTACAATATGCAGATGACATTGCCCTGGTCTCACACGGCAGAAGCTTGATTGCAGCCATTGAAAAACTCCAAC